GCACTTCCAGCAGCACCTTCCATCTGGCACCGATTGCTGCCGATTTTTCGCGCTTCATTTGCAGTCAGCAGCCGCAGCGACTGACATTGAGGGAGAAGGACTCCTCGGCTCCCATCAATCAAGTGCCATCAGCTCCAGCTTCCAGGGCCACAAGGTCACCCCGGGCGGGCGATCCGCTCAGCCGAGCACAGCTCTGCTCCTGCTGCAGAGTTTTGACTTACACGACTGTAAATGTGCAAAATCTTTATTTACAGCTCAACTAATTGGTACTTTTAATTAATATGTTCACAGAATTCCACGGCAGCATGGCAGGTGTACGTGTAGCTGAGTGGTTTATAACATTGCCACCTGCAGTTGGGACTTAGAACCTGCCAAAAGCTCTTGAGCAGATTTCCAAGGCCACGGGCTGTGCCTGGGCTCTGCGTTACGGTAACGTGCTCTCCCAAGGAAATTCCTGTGAGTGCTGCTCTACAAGCTTTTTCCCACGCCACACACTGCCCTGCAGAGCTCACCAAGGCACAAGTTACCTCCTCAGCCATGTGCAGGCCTGGATCCTGCCAAAAGAACTTTTCAGACACAGAAGAAGTCCCAAAGTCTCAATATCCTTGTTTATAGCCCCATAAAGACGCTTAAATCAAGGACAAAGAGGCATCTTTGGAGAGGACAGTGCAGCAGCTATCAAAGAAACAGCCTTAGTTTTAGAAAAAATCCTAGACAAGGTTAGAGAAGCAAAGTTCTTTGCTCTGAATGCTCTTAACGTGCCAACATACAGCCTTTCCACCCACTTACTGGTCTGCAAGCCCAAGAGAACTGTCATGGTCTCAGTTGTAAAGGAAATACAGACTCTTTTTCCCCCAAATTTTAAAAAAAAGCAATTTATTCTAATCTGGTTACATGTTATGGGTAGAAAAAGTAGTTCTTGGCTTCCACTCTGTAAACCAATGGAAGGAAGACACAAGTCAGGAGAAGAACTAAACGAAGGTAGCAGTTCCAAAACGTATTTAGAGGGAAGTCAGTGCTCCCTGAGTCCCACCTAGGCTTTTTTCACCTCGCCACAGGCCTGTGCCAGACGCACCTAGAAGGAAACAGAAACCCGTGAGTGCTCAGAGACACTGGCACAGTCCACACCACCTGCAGCTCTGGCCTCAACCCTCCATTTTTCAGGGCACTGACAACAGTTCTTTTCCCCAGTGTGTATTCAGCCAGATGTGGTGCAAACTCCTCCCTCCCCTTCCTGCTCCGTGCTGCTTCTTCACCTCTGGCATGAGCCAAAATACAAGGGGCTGGGGGGGAATGGGGAGTTTCTGTTGCAGCCCAACTGTCCCCTGACTGATGGCAGAGTGGCAGTTCTGCCTTACAACTTCAGGTCGTGGCTGGCAAAAACACCCAGACTTACCGACAGCTTCTTCATGAGCCCTCGGGCCTCGGGGTCCAGGTGAAGGAAGTTCTTCTTGGTCAGATCCTTCGCTGTCAGACGTATGCTCTGCGGAAACAAACCCAGACCTCAGGCTGTCTGCTCAGCCAGCTGCTGCAGGCAGCACAGAAACTCAATTGAAAAGTGACAGCAATTAAGATCCAAGCAGAACAGAACACAGGCAGAGAACAGCCTCACCTCGCCGCCACCGAGGGGCAGGGTCAGCACGGCCTCGCCGTCCGCCAGGGGACTGCCGTTGGCAGAGATGGTGAACACGCGCTCGTTCAGTGCCGGCGTGCGCAGCCCTGGGGTCCTGAACACCCTGCAACGAGAGTGGAGAGGGAACCTCTGCTCAAACCATCCATTTCAGGGCAGGGACACGTCGAGCGCTGCACCGCGAACGGGTGGAGTAAAGCAAACTGCCGAGAGCAGCTCATAGCAGAGGTTTATACATAGAGCATATTGGAACAGAGATTTCTAACTGTCAGGATATGAAATGTTTGTATGTGAAATATGTTTAACATGTTTATATGGGAAACACATTTATTTTCTCTGTTAACAAATTAGCAGAGAAATCTACCAGAACACAGACCTGGAATCAAACTTGGACATGGTCACGGAGGTTCCTCTCCGAGCACAGAAGTCAACCATCCTTCCAGTAGCTGGAGTGATATAGCTGTTTTTGCTTAATCTGCTGAAGGGAAATACACATTTGCTCACAAAAGTACTTTTAACAAACATACAAGCAGTTAGCAGAGGCTTGAATGAGGTGGTCACCACAAATCCCAGGCAGAACCAGTGGTTCTCTCCTCAGTGACCCCTGAAGCTCAGACAGCTGATCCTCACAGGAGACACAGCTGTCCACCTTCCATTCCCTGTCGGATCATCCCTATCTCATGGCCCAACTCGCCCTCCCTGTTACTGAACCAAGCTCCACCCCAGGTCAGGGAGAGGTTTATCCTCTCATCTCCACCTCTGGACCCCATTACCTCTTGCTCACGCGTTTCACTCTGGCCGAGGGAGGTCTCCTGGCCACAGAAGCCTTTTTGGTAGATGCCTTCACCTGGAACACACATCATCCACCAGCTCAGTTACTTCCCTCTCCTGGCATAGCTGAGCCCACACAAACAGAGGCTTCCATACAAAATGTTTGGCTCAGTCTCCCTTGGAGGGCACAAGCGCCCAGAACAAACACCTTCCAGCCTCTGTCACCCTGCCCTGTGCTAGAGCTGCCCAGGAAGCCACAGCTGCTCCTCAGGGTGCTCTGCACAGCCCTGGTGCCACAGGCATCAGCTTGGTCAGCAACCTGTATCCTGAAGCAAAGCCACCCCAGAGGAGAGCTGCTCACCTTGGCAGTTCTGGGAGCCACGTTCTCGGGCTCTGTCTCTGGAGGGCACTGGCTGTCAACTCTGCTCTTTTTTGGCAGAGGAAGTGACAGAGGCTCTGCTTCCTCCTCAATGGCTGCAACACTCCTTTTGGACTTCTCCACTGAAAGAGGAAGTGTTATCTAAGCCAAATATCAATGACAATTTTATCAGTTAGCAGCAGAGGCAAACAGTCTCAAGCATTTTTGGCAACAATTTGCTTCCGAAATCCGAATCCCAACACAATCCCAAGGGTTTACAGAGACTGCTCAGAATTACTGTGAATGTGTCAATGACATTAATTAGCTACTGCAGGCACTAGGGATAACAGTAGGGTTATTCTCCTGTTCAAAATGCACTGGGGGATGTGAGCAAGGCCAGAATTATCAGCCCCAGTAAGTAACCACCACACACTTGCACCTCACTGAGCTCATCACACCCTTACACTGACCTTTCTTGACGATTTTAAACGGAGTATTGATGACTTCTGCTGTCAGCTTGTCTATTTCTGCAATTTCCAGGTCTGCCTAAAAACAAAATCAGTCATGACACCATCAGGATTGTTGGCAGCAGGTCAAAGCTGTAGAGCAAATCCCCAATGACTTTAGAGCCAAAACAGTTCCACGTTTGCTGCTGTGCTTGAACTGGGCCCTTCCACACTGTCCTGGAGAGGACAACGCTCAGCCCTGCACTCCCCCAGGACTCACTGCAGTTTTGGCAGCTGCAGGTGTGCCTCACCCTCACCAACCAGTTTGGAAATGCTGTCATTACTGCAGAGTGTGCATGCGCTCAGGGGTCTGGAGTGGAATCCAGCAGGTGAGGAAAGGCCAGCACAGAGCAGCAGGAGCACACAAATCCTTTGTCAGATGCAATGGGCATCTCTTACTGCTAAGGCCTAAAGCAGCATTAGTGAAAATACTGACGCAACTTCTGCCCTTGCAACGCTCCAGAGTGCTGTGACAGCCTGAGGAGCTCTTCCACACCCCGGTGGGGTGTGTGACAGCTTCAGAGCTCCCAGCTGGAAACCTACCCTGGCTGCCTCCTCCGGGGCCTTTCTGCTTCCCTCTTTACCTAAGGAGAAAACATTTTAGGCAAATCAGAGAATGTCTGGGGCAGCCCACACGGCACAGCGAGCTGAGACACTCATCACCCCTGGGGTGCAAAACCAGCACAACCCCGGAGAAAGGGATCAGCGCTCCCGGGCTGCCTCCCCGGGCACAGATCGCAGCCCTCCCCGATTTCCGCTGGGTTTTGTTACCCAGGGGAACGCGC